TTTATTTTTTCGAGTGAATATTTTTAATATATTTTAATTTTATTTATTATATTTATAACCGAACAGAAAAAAAAAAAAAAAAAAAAAAAAAACCAACTAATGAGCTCACTATATAACGAAATAAAAAAAATTTTTTTTTTTTTTTTTTTTCAATAATAATAATGATAACCTTATTCTCTATCTCTTTCTTTTTCTTTTTGTGTCTCTTTTTTCTTATATTTTCTTTTACACAACATTTGAATTATTCACAAAATTTTGTTTCACGCGTTAGCTCTCTAATTTTACATTTGATTGATCGATTGATTGATTTATCGATTTCTCAACAACTTCATTATTTTATGTAATTTATTATTATTATTATTATTAATGAGCGACATGAAAAAATTTTAATTTTCTATTTTATAATTAATTCATATCTTATGTGTATGGAGATACATATAATCCAATAACTTCGGCCAACGTACAAACAATCGCACAATAACTAATCTAAGTTTTATTATTATTATTATTATTATTATTATAATTATTATTATTATGTTTTGCTGTTGTTGTTGTTCCTGTTGTTATTCTTAATTATTTATTATTTTTTTTAACTCATTTATTTTAATAATAATAATAATAATAATAATAATAATAATAGTTAATTCAAGTGCGTTTTGACTTGTTATTAATTTTTCTCTTCTTTCTTTTCTTCTTTTTGATCGTCTGATGTTTGGTCGGAGGAATTTGAGCTGCTACCCGCGGATGAAGAACTTCCCTCTCTTTCTGATGCCATCTGAAAAATACAAACACAAATATTTATGAGGCGGTTCTTTCTTTGTTCTTACAAATTCTTCACCCCTTGGTTGGTTGTTTCAGACCACAAACATCTTCACAAAATATCAGATTTTGAAGAGAGAGTTTTTGTGTTATCATCATTTCCACAACCACCATTAACCAGATTTTAATTTAGATTCCATTTCTAACCTTTTTGTACGCCATTTCGAATAATTTTAACGAAGCTTGTTGCAACGCCGATGTCGCTTTTCTTATGTCATCCGGATCCGTTTCGTCTTTTTTCTCTAACAATTCTCTTACTTGAGCTATTTCTTGCCTTAATTTATCGCACTTGAAAAAAAAAAAAACGATTAATGTAAAAAACATCTCCTTCATTTACTAATCTTTTGATTAATGACAAGTTTGCATTTTCCCCCTCTCTCTCTCTCCCTCCTCACCTCTTCCTTTGGTAACTGATCTTTGAATTCTTCCATTTTAGATTCCGTATCGTGAATTATTCCTTCGGCTTGATTAACAGTTTCAACTCTTTCTTTTTTAACTTTATCCTGTGCCGCAAACTGTTCGGCATTTTTAACCATGTTTTCAATTTCATCTTTGCTAAGACCTCCAGATGACTGAATGACAACTAATCGAAAATTAAAATAATAATAATAATAAAACGCTTTGCAGTAGAAATAATCGGGAAAATATTTCGAAAGATACATCAAATCATCAGAAATGGTGTCATCAAATTATATCAATATTATGAGACGAAAAATAAAGTCATCATTTTTTTTTTAAAACGAAAAAAAAAAAAATTTAAATAAACAAATTACTTTGCTGTTCTTTTCCTGTTCCTTTATCTTTAGCCGAAACGTGAACTATCCCGTTGGCATCAATATCAAATGTAACTTCAATTTGTGGTACTCCTCGCGGAGCAGGAGGTATTCCAACTAGCGTGAACTGGCCCAATAATTTATTGTCAGAAGCCATTTCTCTTTCTCCTTGATGTACTTTAATTTCGACTTGAGTTTGACCATCGGCAGCCGTTGAAAACACCTGAAAATAAAATTAATATCGATTGCCGTTTTTTATTACAAATTCATTCTACTAAGGAACAATTCCGAAAGAAACACATACTTGACTTTTCTTGGTTGGAATTGTTGTATTTCTTGATATCAGTCTCGTAAAAACTCCACCTAATGTTTCGATACCTAACGATAATGGAGTAACATCTAACAAAAGAACATCTGTGACGTCACCGGCTAAAACACCACCCTGAACGGCTGCACCGACAGCAACAGCTTCATCTGGATTAACGGCTCTACTCGGTTGCCTTCCGAATATTTCTTGTACGGTGGATTGAACCTAAACGTATCAAAATAAAAGCAATTAGATTTTCTAATAATTAATTTTTATTCGAAATAAAATAGGCACGTTACCTTAGGCATACGAGTCATTCCTCCGACCAACAAAACTTCACCGATATCAGATTTTGAAACTTCGGCATCTTGTAAAGCTTTCTGACACGGACTGATTGTTTTCTTAATTAACGATTCGACCAAAGATTCAAATTTTGATCGAGACAATTTCAAATTCATGTGTTTCGGTCCTGAAGAATCCATCGTCAAATAAGGAAGATTAATGTCGGTTTGTAAAGAAGATGAAAGTTCGATTTTGGCTTTTTCTGCGGCTTCCTTTAATCTTTGAACTGCCATTGGATCTTTTGTTACGTCAATACCTTGCTGTAAAATAAAAAATCAAGTCAAATTTTCAA